GTCTATGGTCGAGATGTAAGAGACAATATATGGCTCGAAAGGGAAATAGAATGATAAGCTTAATACCCTTAACAACTTTTCTAAACAATATGAGCAGCCAGGCTGCTGGGATGGCGCAATGAGCTACCGATGTGGAGATGGAAGCCGATGTTGCATGTTTAGGTTTCGAAGCGCATAGATGAGTCGCGACGATAAGGAGTAGGCTTGAGAAGGCGAGGAGGACGAGGATTGTATACATGTTGAATTTTATTGCAAACGTCGAGGGGAAACCCAATCAATTTTCCATTGTTGTTCGTCTTGTGTTTCATGGTTGCTCAGTTTCGCGTACTTCCAAGGGTGCCAGTCCGCTGATGTAGTTTAGGGTTCCGCGAAGCTCTATAATTGTAGTTTAGGAGCCGCTTCGGGCGCGGCATTGTTCGTGCACCTGCGTTCTATTGAAAAAGATCGTTACTTGTTTCTCATTCCCTTCTCGTGCGCATCTGAGTACAACTGTCGCACGCCGCACGTTACTTGTGCGGTTGCTTGTGAGACGTCTGCTGTGCACGTTATCGTGGCTACTGCTCCTTTGGAACGGCTGTAGCAGCCATTAAGGGTCTTGGGGACGACGTTACAATTGAAATTGAGAACTTTGCGTTGCACTCGAGCGATGGTCGAGTTGATGTCAACGGCCAATTCGATTGAGAAATCTTTCGTGTGAATACTGGGCGTACTTTTAGATCCAACAAGTACAATCCCGTTTGGGATAGGTAGAGGTAATGTGTTGGATAGGTGCTGTATTTGTGAGATATCATTGTCGGTGCAATAACATGACACCGTGTTTTCGGCCGGGTTACATGTGCAAGTATCCCTTATATTGCATTGATTTGATTTGCTTGAAAGTTGAGGGATTGTGTGGACAGGCATAACTAAAGGTGATGTCATCGTTAAAGTATACGATCGTGCAATTATTGGTTGTGTAGCGTTTATATTGTATTGACATTGGTGAAAAGTAGAAGGATGTTACTTAAAATTTGCCGTCTCCGACTGTTCGGATGGTACATGGCCTTGATCTCTCCTGTGAAAACCCTTGTATTTTGCTTTGAGTCGAGTTGTTCGACCTTGAGTTTGATAGTTTCATACCACGTTGGGCATTGAAAGACTTCATATACGTCGTTGTCTTTAGGGATATGGTAAATCCTATAAAAGAGACAACCAGAGGATGGAAAGCCGCACGAGCATCCCCAAAATCCGCATGACTCTGTGCAATAGGTCATCCCAGTGAAATTATTAGCTATATCAAGCTCCTCAACCAATGTATCTGTTGAAATTCCTGCACATTTGCGGTCCAATGCATGACCCTTTACTTGGACATCCTTTCCTTGACTGTACACGAGTTTCCGTGTTTTGAGTGAAGTATAATGTTTCGTAATGTTAAATTGTAAAGTTTGTGACAGCGTGATATAAAATATTCCACTGATATTCCCATAAAGTAAACTTGAAAATCATTGGATTCGATTTGCAAACATAGGTCTGATTGCATTGTATTATAACTTGGCGAGTATTGTAGTGAACATTGCTACAATTTTGAACTCTTGAATCACACTGCATGACTGTTGTTGGGACAAGTATTACTTGCTGACATCCATATCCTGTCTTCCAGATCGCACAAATGGCCAAAAGCCGTGTAAAAGTGGAAGCCTTCCACTTTCTATGGGTGCCGCTTCCAATTTGTACCAAAGGGATATTTTCCGCTGAAGATTTCCATTGAAGTCCTCACCTTAAGGAACATCGGTAGTTCAGTGGTGGAATGCTCGCCTGCCACGCGGGCGGCCCGGGTTCAATTCCCGGCCGATGCACCAGTTTTGAGGGTTTCACTCCTCAGATATAAAAGGTGGTGACTCTTTATTATTTCTATTTACTGACTATTTCTGAATCTACACCTTACAACAATATTTTTGGATATTTATTTCTGGAACTTCCAATAAATGGAAAGAACCTAAGACCAATACGACCAATTTGATTGATGGACGATCTCTTTCTCGTGACCTTTAGGTGATTGTAGGTAAACTGGGACAATCACCATGCGTACGTTGTTGCTGCTTGCGAAGGCCGTTGTGAATTCGTTGTTGAGTTGTTCTGCAGCGTGACCGTTTTAGGTCTGGAAAATTACCGTGACATTTTCCACAGGTCTCCTTCTAGGTCGTGGCGATTGACCGATCGAACTTGACGTTCAGAGGTCCTTGAGGGCGAAGGTGAGTGTTTGAAGGTGCCTTGATTGAGTGAACATCGTGACAGTGGTCGTGGTGATGACCGTGGTGATGATCCATTACGTCGATTTGGAGTGAAATTTCTATTTTCAGAGACTCATCTGTTAGGGGGAATAACTTACTTTTGAAGGTTTGTCTAGGAGATTGACTTCTCTCGTGAAGCTGTCTATCACTTATTTGTCGTTGAAAGGGTGAACAGTGTTTTTTTGTATTACATTGGAATGCCACTCAGGCGAGTATTTTTAACGTTGACAACAAAGGATGTAACTGTGAGGACCGCCGCAATGAAAACAGTTCTGCAAAACTGGTATATACAGGGGTGGCCAAAAAAAGAGA